GCGTAAATAGACAGTATAAGTCATTATAATCCATATTTATGTCCTGGATGACTGGATGCAACAAATGCCTCGTTTATAATGGGTTTTATTGTGTTTGTCTTGTCGCGCCGGGACACAGGGCATCACAGCATGGTAGGGGCGTAACATTTCCGTCACACGCTTGAGGTATTCGGCCAATCACAACGCACTGGATAGCTGGCCAATCAGAGCACACCTCGCTTTTCAGACCGATGAGCTTTGTGAAAATCGACGCGTTTCAGAAAGGCGGGGCATAGAGGAGAAACAGTAATGTACAGTATGTGGAAAATAATGTGTTTTTTGAACCTTAAACCGCATAAACACATTGCATTACACCAAATACACAAAATAATGTTCTTTTTAGCAACATAATATGACCCCTTTAAATTCATTTCCTAATTTTGTAAAAGTACAAAATCTTACTTTGTAAATTGTATCATTTTGACTTTAAAAATATGGGTTGAACATTTCTGTAAGGTGTTTTTTTTTTGTGCGCTAATGGATTCAAATTCTGCTGTTTTCACTTTTGTATTTCTTAAATAACAATCCTTGAAAATACGTCAAGTGCCCCAAAGTTTGTATGATGGACTTAAAATTAAATGGCATTATTTCTCTCTAATGCCACTAGAGAAGTGAGTGCATGCCTTCTCTGGATAAAAGATGAATCGATGGCTAACGTAAGCACCGATGTGACTGTTTTTGTTTTTTTATTACAAGACAAAATGCTTTCTGTTCTCTTCATCTGTTCTTTTGTCCCTGATTTTAATGCATTTTTTGATGACCCTCAACTTCATCAAATTCCTTTCTGCTGTTTGATGCTGCTGCTGTCTCTTCAAGGTTGATGAGCGCGCTTTGAGGGACATCATGGAGATGGGCTTTCACCGAGAGGAGGCCAGACAGGCCTTGCTGGATAACAACAATAACCTGGAGGTGGCCCTCAACTTCCTGCTCACCGGAACAAACCAGCCCAAAGCGGCCCAAACGGAGCAGAGCCGCCCACCACCTCGAGGTAAAATGCGTCAATATGTTTTCTTGTTGTGTAGATTAATTTTTCTTGTTTTATTCAGTTTTGTTTAGTGCCATAAAATCCATTAAAGGACCCAAAATTGAAAAATTGCTTAAAAATGTCCTCACCCTCAGGCCATCCAAGATGTAGATGAGTTTGTTTCTTCATCAGATTTGTAGAAATGTAGCATTGCATCAGTGTCTCAGCAATGGATGCTCTGCAGTGAATGGGTGCCGTCAGAATGAGAGTCCAAACAGCTGATAAAAACATCACAATAATCCACAAGTAATCCACAGCACTCCAGTTCATCAGTTAACATCTTGAGAAGAGAAAACCTGCGTGTTCCACCAACATATTTGTTTTGAACTGTTTTGGGCTGTTTTTGTTTGTAAACAGTGTTTGATCTGTGCAGATTTCTCTGCTGATTCAGACCAGATGACGTTTTCACTAGAGAAAGTCATCTCATGCATAAAGGACTTGCATTTTAGCCGGAATCAATGTATGAAGTTAAAAACATCTTGATGGATTTGTTTCTTACAAACACGCAGCTTTTTTCTTCTCAAGACAATAACTGATGGACTGGAGTGGTGTGGATTACTTGTGGTTTATTGTGATATTTTTATCAGCTCATTCTTACAGCACCCATTCACTGCAGAGCATCCATTGCTGAGACAGTGATGTAAACTAACTTTCAGAAAATTTTCATTTCGGATGAACTGTTTTTTTTAATGACAATCCAGACTATAATCCCAGATTGATGTTATTGTTATTAGTGTTGTTGGTTTTTGAGTACAAGGAAAATAAAACCATATTTTCATTGCTGTTTTGCTTTGCTTTGTGGTGTAAACTGTCTTTAACTCGATGTCCTTTTAGTTTGACAGTTTATTTGTTCACTGACAGGAAAGGGTCGTGGAAGAGGACGCTCCAGACAAGATGAGGATGAAGAAGCAGGAGGAAGACCATCTGGGCCCAGCACACTGTTTGACTTCCTGGAGTCAAAAATGGGGACATTGTCCATTGACGGTACACTGAATTTGTTTTACCTTTGTTTTTATGGAGCATTAAAAAATGCTGACAATATTAGTGCTTCTTTAAATTTGATATCTGAATTGGCCAATTTTGGAAGCTTATAGTATCAGGGCCTTTTTTGTCCTTTCAAATAGTAGCAGTGTTATTTTAGTATTTCCATACTATTTTAGTATTTATTAATATTTTAAATTAGTTAATATTTTTTAGTATATATATATATATATATATATATCACCTGTGAGGTGGATGGATTATCTCGGCAAAGGAGAAGTGCTCACTAACACAGATTTAGACAGATTTGTGAACAATATTTGAGAGAAATAGGCCTTTTGTGTACATAGAAAAAGTCTTTGAGTTCAGCTAATGAAAAATGGGGGCAAAAACAAAAGTGTTGCGTTTATAATTTTGTTCAGTGTATATATACTACCGCTCAAAAGTTTGGGATCAGTAAGACTCGTAATGTTTTATAAAGAAGTTTCTTATGCTCATCAAGGCTGCATTTATTTGATCAAAAATGCAGAAAAAAACAGAAATCTTGCTAAATGTTATTACAATATAAAATAATGGTTTCTATTTTAATTTACTTTAAAATATAATTTATTTCTGTGATGCAAAGCTGAATTTCCATCCATTTTTTTTCTAGTTTTTTTATTTTATTTTTTTTATTTGTTTTTTTAATGTTAGTATAGTTTAGTATAGTTTTATACAGTATATTTTATTATTAATAATGTATTTTATATTATTATTATTATTATTATTATTATATATTTTAATTATGGTTAGTTTTAATTTATTTTTATTTTAGTTATAGAAGTTTAGTACTTCATATTTAAGCTTATTTTAGTTGCCAAGGCAACATTTCTAATTTAAGTTTAAGGTTTTCATCTGCTATTTATATTTTATTTTATTTCAGCTATTTTTAAACTAAACTATTTTTTTATATATATATAGTTTTAGTTAACCCTAACAATAACATTTTTTTTCTGTGCCAACTTACTGAAGTACTAAACACTTTATATCTGCATGATTCCTACTTCACATGATAATATTTTGATCACTTTGCAACTCCAGTACATTTATTTATTTATTTAGTAAGCATCTGTATTAAAAGTGGGATAATGTATGGTTAGCTTCCAGAATAAACTCTTCGGCATGATAAAAGACCCTGCTTCATTTTGAGGTTATGATCAGAGTTTATTTTGCAATAATGACTATAAATGATCACTTTAAAGCATTTATTCCTACTGCATTTGCAACAAAACCAATCCTAGTAATGGGAACATTGTATCAGGATTTTTAATCTCCTCTTATGTTGAAGTCCCAGTGGGCTGCAGAACTGTGCGGCGTCAAACAGATGGCCAGTCCCAAATGAAGGCGCTCTATTAGTCAGCTTTAGATAAGTCTCTGCGGCTTGTAAGCTCTGCCTGACATATGGCTTTAAGAGAAAACGGACAGGGCTAATATGTGGAGAAACGTTTGTCGTCTTCCGCTCGTTCAGTGCCGTTGTTTTAACATTCAGGCTCTTGCTTTGAGTCAGAATGACCTGAAACGCACTGTAATTGTGCTTTTGAAGTACCCTGCATCATCACTGTGTCCTGCATTTAAGTTGATATTTCTATGAAGAGATTGTCAGCTTTCTTGAATGAACTTTATTACCGCTTGACATTTCTCAACATCGTAAAAGGCCATTTAAATGCATTGTGCAAGGCACTAAAAATGTGCAAAACAACAGGTTACAGGCTTTTCATTGAGTTTAAAAGATCTTTTAGGGGCTTTTCTTTTCAAATACTGAAATGTGCCATTTAATTCATTGGCATAGCAGGTAATAACTTTATCAGTGCTCTATTAAACCCATTTTATTTTCTGTTCAAAATCCTGTTTTATTTTTTCCCAAATTGCATTTTTTTTCTTTTTCTAAATTCTACCAAGCACCCCCTACCCCCCACCCCCCCGTTTAAATTTTTCTGGATTCCCTTTTTAAAGATTACATTACATTTCCATAATCAAAAAGCATGTCTGACTAATAAGAATCATAAAACTTATTCAATTTAGCAACAATTTATTAAAAGTATAAGTTATTTTTATGAAATCCATTTATTTTTTCCCAAATTCTGTATTATTTTTCCCAAATTCTGTGTGTTCTGTTTTAATTATTCTGTATTCCATTTTAACGGTGCAATTAAATTTTAATTGGCAAAAAGCATTTCTAATCAATTGAATTCTTTAAGAGTTTAATAATTTATTAACATTTTTTACAAAATGTAAAACCAAAAATGATAATCCTTTAAAATAGTTTTTATAATAATATTATTATTATTACTGTTACTTTGATTATATGTAGTAGACTAAACCGCGCCACTCATTCATTTACAATTTTTAATCCGTTGCCTTACTGTTTTTCTTATGATTAACCCTCTAGAGTCAAAGAACCAGCCTTCACTACAAGAGCACCAATATAAGATGACTTTCCCCAGCACTGATCAAATGTTCAGAGATGCCGCCCAGTCCAAACACCCTCCCCGAAACGAGGGACGCTCGCAGAGAAACGACAGGCCACCACGTTTCCAGAAGGATGGAGACTTTCCTAAACCCAGCACGGCCTCTTTCAGTGTCTCCCAGCCGCAGAAATGGAGGGACGGAGAGAGAACGGGAAGAGGAGGATCAGACCGATGGAAGAATGATGCTCAAGATGCTAGAAATGCGTACACCTCTATGGGGAAGCCCAGGGAACAGCAGGGTCTCTCTGGAAAGGAACATAACGGGTCGAAAAGCTTTCAGCAGGAACCACATAACGGCGGATGTAAAGAGCAGGATGGGACAGGACTGGCTTCTTTTAGGAAAAACCAATCAAACGGACCCGCGGCACCCAAATCCTCAAATCCTGCTGCGTCAGGCTCGGATCCTAAAGCTAGAAACGAACCCAACAACAGAAGGAAAGGCAAGCCAGAAAGACCCAAATCAGGCTACTTTGAGCGTTCGCAAGATGCAACGAAAAAAGACTTTTCGCAGGATGCCGGATCCGGTCAGTGCATCAAAGTGGGCGGGGTTTCAAACGCGCAGCTCCCTAATGGTGATTTAGAACACAGACGGACCGGTCCAATCAAGCCGCAGTCTTCAGCCCCGCCTCAGAAACAAACCAACACGCATAACTCCGCCCCCAAGAAACGATCTGGACCAATCAAAGGTCAGAGAGAGCCGACGGACACAAATAATCACATAATCTGGAGAGCTGGTGACCAGTGTCTAGCGCTCTACTGGGAAGACAATAAGGTGAGTCTTTTGCATTACTTTTGAGTGGCGTTGGTTCTGGAAGCATTTTTCTATTCATTTTTCTCATAGGGAAAGTCCTGGTTAAAGTGTTGCAAGCTGTGAACCAAACCAACCAACTACAAGGTGAATCACAACATTACAAACTTTTATTTGAAACAAAAAATAATTTTTTTTTTATTAAACAACAATGCAAAGATTGTGTACGTAATGACTTTATTGAAGAAAAAACTACAGTCCCATGATGCTTTATGAATGGCAGTCGATTTAAAAACAATGATGAGATATAAAACTATTCCTTTTAAACTGGTGATCTTTCAATAGAAACAATATATTTGAAGTTTATTGCCAAATATGCATGCATATACACATACATATATATATATATATGTGTATGTATATATGTATATATTTGTATGTTTATTTATTTAAATCGTTTGGAGACAGACTTTTCTGTATAGCATCATGAATAATGTAGTTTTTCACCAGGAATTATGCTTGTAAACATGATTATTTTAAAGGGGGTCATCAAATGCACTTTTTAAAATTTATTTTATAATGTTTCCTGAGGTGCACATATAGTCTTCGTAATCTTAGTGTAGTTTTTTCATCAAAAACGTCATAATTTAGATAAAAATTGTCATTTTCTACCCTGAATTCAGCCTCTGATTTGAACTCTCTGTTGGAAGGGGTGTGTCTTCTGTGAGTCTTCAATGTAAACGCCCTCTGCTGTGATTGGCTAGCATCTTTGCATATGAAATGAGCATTACATGTGGAGCTCTGGAATGTGTTTTTGCTGTCACAAGATTAACTAATGGTGAAAAGTGTTGATTGTAGCGTTATATTTAGATCTACTGTTGCATCAAAGGTTGCAGCGCTGCCCTGCCGAACATGACCTTTCTGAAAATGAGTAGTCTTTACGAGTCTTCCGGAACCAAATTACACTCTGTATGCTTTTATTGCATTTTTCCCTTTTGTGTTCTTGTAAAACATCTTTGTATATTGGTGGCAGTTTTATCGGGCGAGAATCGACGCCATCCACCCGTCGGGCTCCACGGCTGTGGTTGTGTTCAGCGACTACGGCAACTGCGAAGAAGTTCTGCTTCACAATATCAAACCTCTGCACATGGACGTGTGGGTAAGCAACAGATTACCCAAAAAACCTTGAGCTCTGTTACAAAACCCAGAGCATTTTAAAGCATCGTGGGTGTTCAACATTTTGCTGCCTTCTAAAATACCTTCTTTTAACAACATATTATTTGGGAACATTGTACCGAAGTGAGAGAAATGGTACTTATAAATATTCTCGCTTGCTTACTTTTTCTTAATTAATTTGTTTGTTTAAAAGATTAGATTTAAGTCTAAAAAATATTTATTATTTTTGCCCGATATTTGGTGCACATTTTTATGCTTATTATGCCTAGGGTTGGGTGCTGAAACCCGGTGCTGGTACCTTTATGACTGAATCAGAATGCAGATTTCGGTGCCACTTAAATGCCTGAGCTGTCGATTGAAATACTTGCCCTCTGGTGCTCCGAAACGGACGTAAGAAGCATCATCACCGCATGCGATCGCTAGTTAAATTATACTGCATTTATGTGGTGTCAGAATAATCAGAAAAATAATTTTCTGACTCTCGTGAACGCAAGTCGGAAAGCTCTGATGATACAAATCCAACACATCTTTGTAGTAACGCTAGTGTTCATGTTGCTTTCACATTCCAACTTAAAAGCACAATGAATGCGTGAATGCAGTAACTTACCGTTAGCGAGCTACATTAAACGTGCTTAAATTAAAACGCCTAAAGCTAAACTTCCCTTGTGCAATGAGAAGCGTTTCTAAACCTGTTGGCTAGGGCTGTGCAATTAATCGCATGCGATTGTCATGCGCATCTCGTCAGTAAAGCTGGTTCTGTGATTAGTAGTAAATCTCCATCACCTGCTTTCAGATGGAGCGGCATTTACTACACAGAGCTGTAGTTCACTGACAATTAGGCAATATCGCGTTCATTATCGCAGATCGAATCGCCTGCGATAATGAATGTGATATTGCATAGCTTGTCAGTGAACTACGGCTCTGTGTAGTAAATGCCGCTCCATCTGAAAGCAGGTGATGGAGATTTACTACTAATCACAGAACCGGCTTTACTGACTAGATGCGCATGACAATCACATGCGATTAATTGCACATCCCTACTGTTGGCCAACAAAAGAGAACATTATAACATGTTTTTACTCCACAACATCAGTCAAATGCTTCCTTTTGTGATCTGATGTGGCTTCTTATCACAGAATGGGCAGAAATATGTTCTATGCTGTAAAAAAGGCTGTGACGATTAGCAATGGATTGTAAATATACTTAATTATTATGAAAATACCCGAGATGGCTTGAACACAGAAACTATATATTGTCGCAGTCGAGTGTTTATTGTCTTCATGTTTCATCATTCAAAACATTTCTCTCCTTTTTCTTCAGTCACAGCGCTAGCTGGATGCTTTTGTCCATATTAGGGATTTCCTGGAGCGTCATGAGTTCTACTACTTCTGTGATGCATATGGGGAGTTTCTGCACGAGGGCGCCCTCTGGCGTCCAGTATGAATGAAACAGACATTACATGTGATTATAGCGCTCAGTAATGCCCAATCCATCCTTTTTTGGGTAAAAATAGGAAAAATAATACTTCTCTCAAAAGAAGTAGTAGACATATGATAATCCATGTTTTACTTCAGTGTACAGGATTTTCTTTTTTTGTTAATTTGTTTTAGAAATCACATTTTAAATCACAATTCACAAAAAAACACCAAACAGAACCGGAAACCGTGGTTTAAAAACCAAGGTATGCATTGAAATGTGGGCTGACTGTATTGTTGCATCCCTGCCACGAATACTGACTACTTTGCTGTTATTAGTACTGTAACTGTTATTTAGTGTTACATTATTGTAGTTGGGTTAGGTGGCTTAGGTGTTATTGTGAACTAATGTAAATTTGTTGTGTTTTATGTTTACTTATATCTATATATATGCTGTAGTTCACTGACAATTAGGCAATATCGCGTTCATTATCGCAGATCGAATCGCCTGCGATAATGAATGTGATATTGCATAGCTTGTCAGTGAACTACGGCTCTGTGTAGTAAATGCCGCTCCATCTGAAAGCAGGTGATGGAGATTTACTACTAATCACAGAACCGGCTTTACTGACTAGATGCGCATGACAATCACATGCGATTAATTGCACATCCCTACTGTTGGCCAACAAAAGAGAACATTATAACATGTTTTTACTCCACAACATCAGTCAAATGCTTCCTTTTGTGATCTGATGTGGCTTCTTATCACAGAATGGGCAGAAATATGTTCTATGCTGTAAAAAAGGCTGTGACGATTAGCAATGGATTGTAAATATACTTAATTATTATGAAAATACCCGAGATGGCTTGAACACAGAAACTATATATTGTCGCAGTCGAGTGTTTATTGTCTTCATGTTTCATCATTCAAAACATTTCTCTCCTTTTTCTTCAGTCACAGCGCTAGCTGGATGCTTTTGTCCATATTAGGGATTTCCTGGAGCGTCATGAGTTCTACTACTTCTGTGATGCATATGGGGAGTTTCTGCACGAGGGCGCCCTCTGGCGTCCAGTATGAATGAAACAGACATTACATGTGATTATAGCGCTCAGTAATGCCCAATCCATCCTTTTTTGGGTAAAAATAGGAAAAATAATACTTCTCTCAAAAGAAGTAGTAGACATATGATAATCCATGTTTTACTTCAGTGTACAGGATTTTCTTTTTTTGTTAATTTGTTTTAGAAATCACATTTTAAATCACAATTCACAAAAAAACACCAAACAGAACCGGAAACCGTGGTTTAAAAACCAAGGTATGCATTGAAATGTGGGCTGACTGTATTGTTGCATCCCTGCCACGAATACTGACTACTTTGCTGTTATTAGTACTGTAACTGTTATTTAGTGTTACATTATTGTGGTTGGGTTAGGTGGCTTAGGTGTTATTGTGAACTAATGTAAATTTGTTGTGTTTTATGTTTACTTATATCTATATATAT